GCTGACCCTCGGCCTCCGCCGCCCGGCCGGCCACTCTCTTGGGCGCTCACACCCCTCGCAGACATTGCAGCTAAACTGGAGACAATGAAAGTTTTTGGAAAAGCGCTTACAACCCGCAAGGCACTGGGATGCTGGGCCAGCCCGGGGCGCGGCGTGTCCTGTCCGCGCGCATGCCCTTCCGCTCCTTGTCTCCAGCTTACACTGCGTCTGCCCACCTGCTGCCCCTGACCCCCGGGCCCAAGAGCACCGGCAGCTCGGCTTCTGGCCACGCTTGCTCACACCGCCGACCGGGACCCGGTGCGACCTGTGGGGCGTCTGTGCGGGCGGGCGGGCCTGCTCCTAGAGGTTCACTCACTGCCCCTCCTGGCCTGTCTTACAGTCTGTCTGGCTGCCCACTGGCGGACAAAAGCATCCGAAGCATGCTGGCCACCAGCTCACAAGAACTCAAGTAAGCCTTCTGGTCAACTTTCGCTTTTGAAAATGTGGTCACAGGTAGTTCACAAAAAAATCGAGTGTTGATGAAAAGAAAAAGTACCTTGACCAGACCTCCTGTGACAGTGATACGACGTAGCATGCAGGACAGGGCCCTTCCAGAGAAAGCATGCTGCCTTCTCCCCACATCCGTCCATCCATCATCTGTCCATCCATCATCTGTCCATCCATCCTGCTGCCCTCTTCCCTCTCATCCATCTATCCAACCATCCATCCTGCCTGCCTTCTCCCCACATCCATTTATCCATCTGCCCATCTATCCTCACATCCATCCTGCCTGCCTGCCTTCTCCCCACATCCATCTATCCATCCACCTGTCCATCCATCCTGCCTGCCTGCCTGCCTGCCTTTTCCCCTCACATCCACCTCACCTGTTCCCTCACATTTATCCTAGTTCTTTTATATCACATCCTTCTGTCTGGAACTTTCTAAAGCATAGGTATTTCTCTTCAGATTTGCATGAACTTCCAAGAAAAAAGTTTTGCAGTTATTCCAACCTTTAGAAATGAACATTTTAAACATTCAAATTAAGCTTTAATAGTCAGAGAGGAATATAATCATTCAAAATATGAATACTTAAATAGCACTAAGGATAAAAACAATTTCTACCATGATGAGGAAAGTTTCTCTAAATGTGGTCTTAGTCACTAACACTGCTGGGGAAAATGGTGTAGTTCACAAGCCTAGGTAGCCTTGGTATCATCACACACACACACCATGTGCAAACCACACACATACCGTACGTTCACATACACCCTATGCACACACACACACACTTTCCTGATAGTTGCCCCACTTCTGTGCCTGTGAGAGTTAGTGTAAAGCTAGAAAACGGTGGTCCATCGTGCACACCAGGCTGGCTTCTCTGCTCTGCGTCAGCGCCCCCTCCAGCCCCAGGCAGGTGTTTCAAGGAGCAGGAGGGAGCTTCAGAAATACCACCTAAACCCTTCACTCTGGTTAGGACTTCAGGTGTGGTAAGGGGCGGCCAGACAGCCCGTCCCGCAGGAAGAGGAGAGAGAGCGAGGGGTCTCTGGGATGGCCCGGTTCCGGGTCTGCGCCGCCGCGCCCGGTGTCAGATGCTCGGTTTCCATCGCTAGGCATCCCGCGCCCGCGCTCCGCCACCCGGTACCCGCGCCCCATGCCCCGCACCTGTGCCCCGTGCC